TTTCCTTTGCCGTTTTCTATGTCATTGATTTCTGCTTCTACTTACATTGGGCTTACTTTACCCTTTTTCTGCCTTATCAAAGTGGAAACTTAACTCCGTGCTACCCTATAGAAATATAATGTGGCACCATATTTGTAATTTAAAATTTTCAGTACCAGCCAGATGTGGTGGCTCATGCCTGTAATCCCGGAACTTTGGGAGGCCAAGGCAGGTGGATCACTTGAGGTCAGGAGTTCAAGACCAGCCTAGCAAACATGGTAAAACCCCATTAATTCTAACATCTGAAATATCTTAGAATCAGTCTCTATTCATTGATTTTTCTCTTGAGAATTGTAATGGTTAATTTTTATGTCAGCTTGACTGGGCCGAGGGATGCCTATATAACCCATTACTTCTGGGTGTATCTGGGAGGGCTTTCTGGAAGAGATTGGCATTTGAATCGGTAGACTGAAGAAGATTGCCCTCACCAACGTGGGTGGGCATCATCTAATCCACTGAAGGTTCAAATAAGTTAAAATGGTGGGGAAGCGTGAATTCATTCCTTCTGCTTGAGCTAAGACATCCATGTCTAAAGACTACTTTAGACATTAGCACTCCTGGTTCAGGCTTGGACTGAAACTACACCACCAGTTTTCCTGGGCCTCCAGCTTGCAGACAGCAGATTGTGGGACTTCTTAGAGCCAGTGCTTCATGATAAATTTCTTTCTATAGCGCGCTCTCTCTCTCTCTCATTGGTTCTATTTCTCTGGAGAACACTAATACAAGTGAAGTGTGATTCAAATTTTCTTTTCTTTTTTCTTTTTCTTTCTTTTTTTTTTTTTTTTGACAGAGTCTCACTCTGTCACCCAGGCAACCCGCCAGGCCCCAGCAAGCCTCCCACCTCTGCCTCCTGAGTAGCTGGGATTACAGGTATGCACTGCAGTGCTCGTGCCTGGCTACTATTTTTTTTTTTTTTTTTTTTTTGAGACAGAGTTTCACTCTTGTTGCCCAGGCTGCCGTGCAATGGCTATTCACAGGCATGATCCCTCTACTGATCAGCATGGAAGTGCTTCATTTCTGATCTGGGCCAGTTCAGCCCTCCTTAGGCAAACTGGTGGTTCCTCACTCCCTGGAGGTCACCATACTGATGCAGAATTTAGTGTGGACACCCAATTAGCATAGTGCACTAAAGCCCAGAACTCCTGGACTCAAATGATCCTCCCACCTCACCCTCTCCAGTAGCTGAGATTACAGGCCCATGCATGCCTGATATCTCTGAGCCTTTACACATGCTTCTTTCTCTGCCTCCTCCCACCCCAACCTAAATATCTTCTACTCATTCTTCAGGATTCAGCAGAGGCATCATCTCTTTTACAGAACTTTTATCTGTCGGGACTGATTCAAGTAATAGAAACTTCCTTGCACTAACAAGCCAAAAAGGGAAAAAGGGATTTAATATAAGAGTATAGAAGTATACTCTTCCTTCAGGAAGAAATCATCCAAAACTAAGCACTCCATTTCGTTGGGACTTTATCTCTTGTGTCTGTTCTTTCCCACCCTTAGAATCCCAGTTTGCCTCTTCAAGTAGCTTTGTTACTGCCTGTCTACTTCTCATTCTTCTCCTCTAGACTATAAGTTCCTTGAGGGCAGGACCGTGCCTTTATTAATTTCCTCATCCCCAGAACTTAGCAGAGTACACCCAACAGAGTTTACAGGTGGTGAAAGAGGAAGACAAGTAAACCGGCCCTTAATGCACAACCCAGCAAGTGTCCTTGAAAATGCACATTTTTGGCCAGGCGCGGTGGCTCAAGCCTGTAATCCCAGCACTTTGGGAGGCCGAGGCGGGCGGATCACGAGGTCAGGAGATCGACACCATCCTGGCTAACACGGTGAAACCCCGTCTCTACTAAAAAATACAAAAAAAAAAAAAAAAAACTAGCCCAGCGAGGTGGCAGGCGCCTGTAGTCCCAGCTGCTCGGGAGGCTGAGGGAGGAGAATGGCGTGAACCCAAGAGGCGGAGCTTCCAGTGAGCCGAGATCCGGCCACTGCACTCCAGCCTGGGTGACAGAGTCAGACTCCGCCTCAAAAAAAAAAAAAAAAAGAAAAGAAAATGCACATTTTCAAGGTGCTTCCAGAGCCAGAGGAGATAGAGAGGACTCACCTCCCTATCTGGGCAGTCGAGAAGCTTCAGGAAGGACACAGACTGATGCATTGCTTATCCTTTGATTGGGGGATCCAAAGGGAAGTCCCATAAAATGCATATTTATTTATTTACTTTTTTTGAGACAGGGTCTCACTCTGTCACCCAGGCTGAGTGCAGTGGTGCAATCAGGGGTCACAGTAGCCATGACCTCCCTGGCTCAAGTGATCCTCTCACATCAGCGTCCTGAGTAGCTGGGATTACAGGCATGCACTACCATGTCCAGCTAATTTTTTTTTCTTTGCAGAGATGGGATCTCACTATGTTGCCCAGGCTGCTCTCGAACTCTGGGTCTCAATCCTCTTGCCTCAGCCTCCCAAAGGGCTGGGATTATGGGCATAAGCCATCACACCCAGCCACGGAGAATCTCTTAGAGACCCTCCCAGCTCCTTGGGTCTCCATTGAAGCGAAGAGAGAACATCCAGTGTATTTCTGCGTGTTGCTTGAAGACAGAGGAAAGGAACAACGAGTCACAGCGCAGGGGCCTTGGCACTCTGTTTCTCTAACATTTCAGCCATTGGAGATTTCATTCAATTCCTTTTTTTTTTTTTTTTTTTTTGATATGGAGTCTCGCTCTGTCACCCAAGCTGGAGTGCCATGGCACAGTCTCGGCTCTCTGCAACCTCCGCCTCCCACATTCAAGCGATTCTCCTGCCTCAGCCTCCTGAGTAGCTGGGATTACAGGCACCCACCACCACGCCCAGCTAATTTTTGTGTTTTTAGTAGAAACGGGGTTTCACCATGTTGGTCAGGCTGGTCTTGAACTTCTGACCTCATGATCCGCCTGTCTTGGCCTCCCAAAGTTATGGGATTACAGGTGTGAGCCACCTCACCCGGCCTCATTCAGTTCCTTTTTTCCATCTTGGGACCTTTGAGCATTTCATTTCCTCTGCTTAGAGTGCTTCCTCACCCTCTTCCTTTAGACTAACCTCTAAACAGCTTGAAGGTTTCAACTTACATGTCACTTTCGGGAGAGGAAGGAGGCTTCCCTCGCCCCCGAACTAGGCTAAGCCCCATCACCACACAGCCCCACAGCAGCCTGCTCTTCCCCTTTCTGAACACTCACTTCACTGTGCTGCCTGTTAAGAGGTTGCCTCTCCAGCGCTCTGCGATCTGTCACAGCAGGGACCATGTCATCTTTGCCTATTCACAGGGCCTGGCACAGAGCCTGGCACCTGAGAGGTAGTCAGAAATACTTGTTATTACTTTGAATTTCAATAGTTAGTGTAACTTCATTTTAAATAGAAAAATCAAGGCACAGAGGTGGGGAAGTGAATATTCCAGTGGTTTCGGGTTGGTTGCAGGGCCGCACTCAGAGCCTGGGCTGGATCCCTCTCTGCCCTGTATCCAATAGCACTGTGTCTCTTCAGTTTTTTGTTTTTGTTTTTGAGACAGGGTCTTGCTCTGTCACTTAGGTTGGAGTGCAGTGGCACGATCACAGTTCACTTTTTTTTTTTTTTCCAGATGGAGTCTAGTTCTGTCACTGAGGCTGGAGTGAAGTGGCGTGATCTTGACTCACCACAACCTCCGTCTCCTCGGTTCAAGCAATTCTTCTGCCTCAGCCTCCCGAGTACCTGGGACTACAGGTGCGCACCACCATGCCTGGCTAATTTTTGTATTTTTTTAGTAGAGATGAGGTTTCATCATATTGGCCAGGCTGGTCTGGAACTCCTGTCCTCAAGTGATCCACCCGCCTCGGCCTCCCAAAGTGCTGGGATTACAGGAATGAACCTCCACACCCAGCCATTTCGCCGGCCTGGGCAAAAGAGCAAGACTCCATCTCAAAACAAATAAACAAAAAAAGAATCAATTGCATTCACATTTTATCCCTAAATATTTCAGTGTGTATCTCCTAAGAAAAATAACATTCCCCTATACAAATACAGCACAATTATCACAACATTACAATACTATTAATATACACATTCATATTCAAATTTCCCAGTTATCTCAATTATGTCCTTTTCAGCTATTTTTTTTTTTCCAGGACCAATCAAGAACCATGAATTGCTTTTGGTTGCCATATCTTAGTCTCCTTTTTTTCTTTTTTTGAGGCAGAGTCTCAAAAAAAGTACAGTGGCATGATCTTGGCTCACTGCAACCTCGGCCTCCTAAGCTCAAACGATTCTCCGGCCTCAGCCTCCTGAGTAGCTGGGATTACAGGCATGCGCCACCACGCCCACCTAATTTTTGTATTTTTAGTAGAGACAGGGTTTCACCATGTTGGCCAGGCTGGTCTCGAACTCCTGACCTCAAGTGATTTGCCCAGCTAGGCCTCCCAAAATGCTGGGATTACAGGCTTGAGTCACTGCGCCTGGCCTAGTCTCCTTTAATATAGAACAGTTCTCAGACTACTTTATCTTTCACAATATTGACTACTTTCTTTTTTTTTTTTTTTTTTTTTTTGAGATAGAGTCTTGCTCTGTTACCAGGCTGGAGTGTAGTGGTGCAATCTTGGCTCACTGCAATCTCCACCCCCGGGTTCAAGCGATTCTTCTGCCTCAGCCTCCCAAGTAGCTGGGACTACAGGAGTGTACCACCACATCCAGCTAATTTTTGTATTTTCAGTAAGGATGGGGTTTCACCATGTTGGCCAGGATGGTCTTGATCTCCTGACTTCACGATCCGTCCACCTCGGCCTCCCAAAGTGCTGGGATTGCAGGTGTGAGCCATTGCACCTAGCCATTGAGTACTTTATCTTTCACTCTTCATTTTTGAAGAGTCCGGGTCAGATGTTTAGCAGAATGCCCCTAATGTGGATTTGTCTGATTATTTCCTCATGGTTAGATTCAGATTAAACTTTTTTTTTTTTTTTTTTTTAACAAGATGCCACTTGCATGATGCTGTGGGTGCCTTTTCATTGCAATGCCTCCATTCCAGATGTGAGAAAGTTCTGGGCCTGTAGGGCATTTCAAGCCTGGGTGTATATGGGGGAGGAGGGGATAGATGTTCGTTTATGTACCAGATCCTCAGATCCCTGGGGTGTGTTGGGGGGAAGGCTCAGGGAGCTGATGGATAAAGCCACAGTTTCAGTCCTGGCAGAGTTCACTGCCAGGGATGGCTGCTGACTGCGGGGCACTGATGGTGGGCAGCCAGGGTCGAGGTGCGAACTTCTCCTTCCTACAAGGCGCTCCAGGTGTTCAGTGGCAGCCAGTCCCTCAGTTAATGGGTCACCTGCTGCTGCGGCCACTCTCTGTTGATGCAGCTACAAGGGAAATGAAGAGGGCTGAGGGAGGTGGCCATGCCAATGCTGTTCTGTGGAGGAGAGGGACAGCAAAGGGACAGGTGTACAAAGACAGAGGGAGCCATGGCCGGGCGCAGTGGCTCACGCCTGTAATCCCAGCACTTTGGGAGGCCGAAGCAGGTGGATCACTTGAGCTCAGGAGTTCGAGACCAGCCTGGGCAACATGGTGAAAATCTGTCTCTACCAAAAATACAAAATAAATTAGCTGGATGTGGTGTCACGAGCCTGTAGTCCCAGCTACTTGGGAGGCTGAGGTGAGAGGATTGCCGGAGCCCAGGAAGAGGAGATTGCAGTGAGCTGAGATCGCACCACTGCACTTCAGCCTGGGTGACAGTGCAAGATCCCGTCTCGAAAAAAGAAAATTAAAAAAAAATAACACGAAGACAGAGGGAGCCTCTGAATAAAAAACAGAATGAAGGAGTAAGGGCCAGGGCATCAGAGGGGATGCACACACCAGCAAAGGAGAGAAAAGTGGAGGGACAGAGACAGAGAGAAACCAAGAGACTCATAAATGGCAGGCCACAGAGAAAAGAAAGCACCAGCTGATATGCCTCACTCACAATTTGCAAGTCCCTTTCTGAGGTTCTCTGGCTTTGGCCTTTGTGGGACAGTCAAGAGAGTCTGTGTTTATATCGGTCAGACTCAAAGGGCACAAGTGTTTCCCCCAAGGGGCTGTGCGGGGGTCACCTGCTCAGTCTGTACTTTTCCAAACACAGAAATTCTCCTTTGTGCCCCAGAAGCCAGGCCCTGGGCCAGCAGTTTCCTGCCGGAGCTCGGCATGTGTCCTCCTTTTTCACAGGGCTGTCAGCACTGAGGAAGGCCTACTGGTAAAGAGGAGCAGGAGACAGGCAGACAGAAGGGAGGACTCGGAGAAAAGAAGCCACTAGAAATAGCCTTCCCTCTGGAGTGGGGAGGAATCCAAAAATCCCAGGAGCTGCCCAGCGGGTGTGACCTTAGCTAATAATAACAGGCCAGGGTTTTCTCACGAGAAAAAGGATCAGCATAGAGGAGGGTGGAGGGAAAGAGAAGCTGCTCAGCCCCCACACTGCGAGGGGTACAGACGGTACCCGGGGGTTCTGCCAGGGCCAAACTCCTCTAAAAGCTCCTGGGGAAGGGCTCTGTTACGGGAACCCAGGGTGGACAGAGTAGACTTTTTGGCAATAATGGTATGTCTGTGCTTTTCTTTCTCAGGAAGAGAAGACAGTGAAAAGAGCATAGTCAGGAATCAGGAATCTTTTGTGGCATCACGGCTGAACCTAAGTGAAAAAGCACCTTTCTGCCCTCTGCCCTTGGCCAAAAGAACACCCTTCAGTTCCTGCTTCTTACTGAGGCAGTTGAGGAGCGTCAAGGGGCTGGACAGGACACCCCGCAAACTTTCCAGCCATTCCTGCTGCTCCTTCTCGTTGGGGCAAGTGAGGACATATCTCCGCTCTGGGGTGACAATGGTGAGTCCGGCTTTCCAGCGATTTCCTCGGATGCCCTTGGGCAGGTCTTCATAGACTTCATATCCCTGCTCCTTGTTCCCCAGAAAAACCTGGCCCTGCTCGAAGGCATCCTGAAAATGGAGGGTACAGGGTCATCAGAGGGTGCCCCCAGGGCAGAGGGGCCCTGCAGCCCTGACAGCCTCCAAGCTCTATTTTGGGAAGGGGGTATGAGGTCCCTGCTGGGATTTCTGCTGAGTGGGACCCAGAATTTGAAAGATCAAAACCCTAAAATAAATCATACACGTCATCTGTTGAAAAGATACTGAGGGTGGGCCTGATAGTTCATGCCTATAATCCTAGCGCTTTGGGAAGCCAAGGCAGAGGATTGTTTGAGGCCAGGAATATGAGACCAACCTGGGCAATATAGTGAGACCCCTTCTCTGCAAAAAAAATTTATTAATTATTATTATGAATTGTTTTTGGAGACAGGGCCTCACTCTGTCACCCAGGCTGGAAGTGCAGTGGCACAATCATGGCTCATCCCAGCCTCAACCTCCCAGGCTCAGGCGATCCTCCCACCTCAGCCTCCCAAGCAGCTAGGACTACAGGCATGCGCCACCACACCTGGCTAATTTTTAAGATTCTTTCCTTTTCTTTTTCTTTTTTTTTTTTTTTGAGATGGAGTCTCGCTCTGCGCCCAGGCTGGAGTGCAATGGCGTGATCTCGGCTCACTGCACCCTCTGCCTCCAGGTTCAAGTGATTCTCCTGCCTCAGCCTCCTGAGTAACTGGGATTACAGGCACGCACCACCATGTCCGACTAATTTTTGTATTTTTAGTAGAGACGGGGTTTCACCATGTTGGTCAGGCTGGTCTTGAACTCCTGACCTCGTGATCCGCCCGCCTCGGCCTCCCAAAGTGCTGGGTTTACAGACGTGAGCCACCATGCCCGGCCTTAAGTTTCTTGTAGAGATGGGATCTCATTATATTGCGCAGGCTGGTCTCGAACTTCTGGGCTCAAGTGATCCTCCCGCCTCAGCCTCCCAAAGTACTGGGATTACAGGCAAGAGCCAGAGCACCCAGCCCTACTTTTTTTTTTTTTTTTTTTAAATTAGCTGGGCATGGTGGTGCATGCCTGTATTCTGAGCTACTCGGGAGGCTGAGGCAGGAAGATAACTTGGGCCCAGAAGTTTAAGGTTGCAATGAGCTGTGATTGTGCCACTGCATTCCAGCCTGGGTGACAGAGAGAGACTCTGTCTCTAAAAAAAATAAATAAGTGATACCTAACATTTATGGAGCACCTATTAAAATCAGCATCAGGAATTACAATGCTTTATAGTAACTTAAGTAGCCATCATGGCAACCTCTGGGGAAGGCATTCTTATTAAGCCTGTTTTTCAGAGGAGGAAACTAAGGCACAGAGAGCTAAGTACTCGGCTCAAGGCAACACTACTACAAGTAGCAGGGCTGAGACCAGAGCCCAGACAGCCGGGTTCTAGAGTCCACCACACTCCTAACCACTACACATCACGGCCTCTTGGTTAGAAGTGAACCCTGGAGACTAGAGGAAGAAATACACCTCATTTAACTACCATGGGCAGCATTTTGGATACTCATAATGGACTTCCTGAAAGCGAGGGGAAAGAAGCTTCATGCCACAGGAGATTACTTCAAGAGCAACAAAAACAAGGGGTAGAAGTTTTCCTCTCAGGGTTTCTCTAGCTCTGGGGCTCTGGGAGATGTCTTTATCCATAGCTTTCACATAGTTTCAGACAAGCACTACCCAGTTCTGTCTGAGGAAGCCCTGGGGAGGGAGCAGGAGTGGCTCTTACCAGTGGGTTCTTGTAATAGAGCAGCCTCCGCTCATGGCAATCCAGGGTGAACCACCTTTTCTTGAAAGGTTCTCTCTGCTGCAAAAGACGGAACCTCTTACCATGGATGACCAAGTCAGTTTCTGAGGATAGAGATCAGGGGCCAGCCCAGGCCAGACCAAGGGAGCTGGCCAGTCCCACTGGTTCTCCAGCCCAGCCTCCTCAGTCAGACATCCTAGTGCTTCTCCCTGGGGCCTGGACAGGAGCCCTCAGGCATTGAAGGTTCTGCCCATTACCCTTCCAACCCCACCATACCCTCTACCAGCTTCACCCTGCTGCCTCCAGGTGCTGCCTTGACTTGGAAGAGGCACTTTCCTCTTTCTCAGGCGGTGGACAAAGAAGCCGGAGAAAAAGGAAGTCGGGGAAAATCAGAAGTGGCTACTGCTTGGCAAGGCTGAAAGTGCTGGCCTTGGCCAAATTCTAACCTAGGTCAGGGAGAGAAAGCCCGGCAACAAGAACCACGCGGAGGGGCTGCGCCTCTCTGAAAATAACGCTTTGACTGCTTTTTCCGCCTGCCCAAGGCTTGCTTTCACGATTGCCTAACACAGGGGTATCCAATCTTTTGCCTTCCCTGGGCCACATTGGAAGAATTGTCTTGGGCCACACATAAAATACACTAAACTAATGATAGCTGGTGAGCTTAAAACAAAAAAATCGCAAAAATATCTCATAATGTTTTAAGAAAGTTCACGAATTTGGCTGGGCGTGGTGACTCATGCCTGTAATCCCAGCACTTTAGAAGGCTGAGGTGGGCAGAGGTCGGGAGTTTGAGACCAGCCTGGCCAACATGGTAAAATCCCGTCTTTACTAAAATTACAAAAATTAGCCAGTCATGGCGGTGGGCACCTGTAATCCCAGCTACTCAGGAGTCTGAGGCAGGAGAATCGCTTGAATCCGGGAGGTGGAGGTTGCAGTGAGCCAAGATCACACCACTGCACTCCTCCTGGGTGACAGTGCAAGACTCTGTCTCAAAAAAATTAAAAAAAGAAAGTTTACGAAGTTGTGTTGGGCCCCATTCCAAGCTGTCCTGGGCAGCACGTGGCCCATGGGCTGTTGGTTGGACAAACTTGGCCTAACACCTTTCACTGTTCTCTTAACCGTCATCCCATAAACACATTAAACCTTTTATGTACATTAAGCCACATAAGTCCCCCAGGGAGTGGTAGAAGGTACCTTTGGCCCAGTCTTTTCCATGAAGCCTTGTTTGAGGTAGTTCCTGGTGAGGAATGGCACGAGCTGTGGAAGAGAGACAGACACTGACCCCCAACTCACACCCCAGAGCTCCAGGTTCCCGCCTGGCTCCCGACAAAGGGGAAGTTTGAAATGGGGAAGGATGTATGCTCATGGCTCATGGTATTATATTTGGAAAGTGCAATGGACATAATATTAATATTTCACAGAGCCAGTCGACAGCACCCCAGATGTTTGCAGAACTTAGTGGCACGGCCAAGTTTTGGTTTAAGGACTCCTTCAGTAACCCCAGGACATAGGCAAGGCTCTGCGGAGACCCTCTTGGTGTCAGGGAACATGTTCTGAGGGTCCACTTTGCGTCAGGCTCCGGTTGCAATTCTCAATCACCCTGCGAGGTGGGTATCACCAGCCTCATTACACATCTGAAGAAAGCAGGCCACAGAGAAGGGGCTGGGGATTTTCCTAAAGTCACAGCACTGGTAGCGTGAAGAGCTGAGATTCATGCCCAGGGCCGATGACACTAGACTGTACTCCTACCACTACACTATGGTGCTAAAGTATAAACATGCCAGGGCCCTCTGAGCAGGACCTTGGGAAAGGCGTGGTCATTGGTCAGAGTTCTGACACAGAGCAACAAGAAAATGATGCGAGAGGCCGGGCGCGGTGGCTCACGTCTGTAATCCCAGCACTTTGGGAGGCCCAGGCAGGTGGATCACTTGAAGCCAGGAGTTTGAGACTAGCCTGGCCAACATGGTGAAACCCCATCTCTACTATAAATACAAAAACTAGCTGGGCATGGTGGTGTGCACTTGTAATCCCAGCTACTCAGTAGGCTGAGGCAAAAGGATCCCTTGAACCAGGGAGACAGAGGTTGCTGTGAGCTGAGATGGCGCCACTGCACTCCAGTCTGGGTGACAGAGGGAGACTCCGTCTCAAAAAAAAAAAAAAGAAAAAAAGAAAGAAAAGAAAATGATGCCAGAGTGGACAGAGAAAGTTCTGAAGCAGAAGTCGGGAGACCTGGTTCTAACTCCAGTTCTGGCCTCCACCAGCTGCATTACCTTTGTAAGACCTTCTGTCTTATGAGGCCTTATGTCTCCCCTGTGTGATAAACAACCTGGATCATGTGATCCCCAGAATCCCTTCCAGCCTGTCAGCCTATACTCAGAGATGTTTCCAGGGGTTGATGATGGCCTCCTATGCTCCCAGGCATCAACCTGGAAAGTCTAGAGCTTCAAATGACAGTCCAGGCTTCAAAGAACAGAGAGGCTTCTCCAGAGCTCCAGGGCCCAGGGCAGAGGCACAGGGGAAGTGAGGTCTGGGGAACAGCTACGGGAAGTTGAAAAGGGGGAAAGTTGTGAGCCAAAAATGAAAATATAGGTCAGATGCAGTGGCTCACACCTGTAGTCCCAGCACTTTGGGAGGCCGAGGTAGGAGGATTGCTTGAGGCCAGAAGTTCGAGACCAGCCCGGGCAACATAAGTGAGATACCATCTCTACAAAAAATAAAAAATTTTTTTAAATGTAAGAAAGAAAATATAAACTGTACTACTCCCCTCATCCTAAAATACATTCACTAGGCTTTAATTCTTCCATTTGGAGAAAACAGATGGAGTCCCGAACTGCTCAATATTCTGAATTTGAGTCAGCACAGAGCAAGCAGAGGCCTAGGGAAACCATTGGGAGAAAAAGGAAAATCACATGGCTGGAGCACTGCTTCCTGTACTTCAGACGCTTGGCTCACTGGAGTCTCACAACAGCCCTAGAAAGTAGGTACTATCACCTAGGCAAGTCACCTCACCTCTCTGGGCTGGATCATCTGTCACTATGGCAACAATACCTACTTTCTCTGAAGTCCAAAAGACCATATGCACTTATTACAGGACCACAGACCCCACTGGGATGCCCTGGATTTCCAACATGTGGATCCTAAAGCCTGAGCCAGGCCTGGTGATTGTTCAGAACCTCACACCATACACAGACATTAAATGGGAAGAAAGACACGGGATGGATATCGGGTACTGACAGTGGATGAGAGCGGCAGGGGAACATTGAGGATGTTGACCGAAGAGCAATTTCCTTTACACATGTCAGCAAAGATGGGCAACTTGCCCAGATTAAATAAGGCTGAGCATCTGCACTTTGTCCTCCTTCCTCATAGTCAGCAGTCAGCACCCTCCACTCCCCACCCATGGGAGCCAGCATTAACCAGTTCTGGGTGCAAACTCAGCAGACTGACTCAAGGGCTCTGACTCGGGCCTTACTGGAATTGCTCCCAGACAGCTGCCATCTCAGCATATCCTTGGGCCTGGAGGGGACCCTATTCCAGACAACTGGCTCCCTACAAATCTTGGAATTAAGGAGCATTTAGGCTTTCAAGGACGCTCTAGGCCGGGCGTGGTGGCTCATGCCTGTAATCCCAGCACTTTGGGAGGCCGAGGCGGGCAGATCATGAGGTCAGGAGATCGAGACCATCCTAGCGAACACGGTGAAACCCCGTCTCTACTAAAAATACAAAAAAATTAGCCGGGCGTGATGGTGGGTGCCTGTAGTCCCAGCTTCTAGGGAGGCTGAGGCAGGAGAATGGCAGGAACCCGGGAGGCGGCGGAGCTCGCAGTGAGCGGAGATCGTGCCACTGCACTCCAGCCTAGGCGACACAGCGAGACTCCATCTCAGAAAAAAAAAAAAAAAAGGAAGCTCTAACGTTTGAGATTAAGAAAATCCCAGCATTAAAATGGTTTTCCACCCCCGTCACTTATAAAATCCTCTTACAGGGGAGCCTCTTGAAGAGGACCAGAGTATAGAATCTCAGAGCCGGAAGGGACCCTGAAGATGACCTGGACTAACTGCCATCTTACCAATCTGGAAACAGAAGCTCAGAGAGGTGCCAGGACCTGCAGGGGTCACACAGAAAGTGAGCAATAGAGCACCCCTGAGAGCCCAGGCTTCCTGGCTCAAGGCAGCATCCTCTGCCCCACACCATGCGGGCCTCCCTGGCCCAGCCTGAAATAGGGAGATGAAGGCCCCAGAAGTCTGGAGACAACCAAAATGAGGTTCTCGGCTCCCCATCATGTTGGCCACGAAGGGCATACCTGCTCCTGTTGCAATTGTAATGGGGAGGATCCCAGGCTTTCCCAAGCCCAGAGCATCACAGGGCAAAGCGGGGATGTTACAAAGGGAAGCGCACCTTTGGTTATTCACCTGCCCTTCCTGGGACTGTGTATCACATCAGTGAAATGGAAATAATCACCCCTGCCCGGCTGCCATTTCACAAGACAAAACGGGCTCAAAGCACTCTGTAGGCAGTATGTTAGGGATCATTTGTACATTTTAGAGGAAGAAGGGGTCAGAAAGAGATGACCAAATGCTGAGCCCCTTGACACTCCTCTGAAGGCGAGAAACTGACCTGCTTTTGGGAGGTTGCCTTGTCATATGTGAAGCTGTAACCCCCCAGGCTCCCCTGGAGAATGCCTTCGGTTTCCCTCTGAGCTACCCAGCCCTCAACCTCGAGGTCTTACCTGCAAACAAACCTAGTCTGGCTTCATTGGTTTCTTTTTTTTTTTTTGACACGGAGTCTTGCTGTGTCACCCAGGCTGGAGTGTAGTGGCGCCATCTCGGCTCACTGCAAGCTCCGCCTCCCGGTTTCATGCCATTCTCCTGCCTCAGCCTCCCAAGTAGCTGGAATTACAGGTGCCCGCCACCACATCCAGCTAATTTTTTTGTATTTTTAGTAGAGATGGGGTTTCACCATGCTAGCCAGGATGGTCTCGATCTCCTGACCTCGTGATCCGCCCGCCTCGGCCTCCCAAAGTGCTGGGATTACAGGCGTGAGCCACCATGCCCAGCCCTAGTCTGGCTTCTGAGTGTCTTCGAGGTCAACAGACAAGGAAAGAAGGAGATGGCCAAGAGGAGATTCAGAAATTGGGGTCCACATTTAGCTCACCTCAGACTCCGGGAGTTCAGGAAAAGCCAATTTTAGATACTGCAGACGGGCTGCACGCAGGGCATTGAACCAGTCCACTATCTCCTGCCGAGAGAAGTGCACAGGACACACACACAGCAGTGAGATGGAGTGGGTGGGAGGCTGCGTCTGGTGGCGGGAAGCTAGCTGGGCATTGCGTGTGGGGCGCATGTATTCAGCGCCTGCACACACCCCACAGCTTGGCTCAGGGGCATCCAGGCAGGACTGTGTCAGAGCCTCGTGGGCTAACCCGAGCAAACAGGAAGCCTCTGACAGGGATAACCCCAGAGCCCCGGAAAAGGATCGGGTGAACTGCACAGGAGTTCTGCAATGGCCTCAGACAGCGCTTTTCACCTTCTAATGCGTACAAAATCTCCTGAGGCTCTTGTTAAAATGCAGAGGCATATGCAGTAGGTTTGGAATGGGGCCCAAGACTCTGCATTCCTAACACGCTCTCAGGTGATATGATGCTGCTAGTCAGTGGAATACACTCTAAGGAGAAAGGTTCTAGGAAATCGTTGTCCTCAGATGTCAAAGACTGGCATTTGGGTGGGGAGCAGGTGTGCCTGGGGATGCTCCTCTGATGAGGATGCTTATGGCAACTTAGGCCAAAGCTGGCTTGGTCCCTTCTGCTGTCACTCTGAGAGAACATGTCCCTCAGCAGCCTGGGCCACCTTCATCTCCCACCTAGACAACCACGTATCTAGCTGGCCTTGATCGGCTGTTCTCCAATTGACCCTCTCATGGCAACCAGAGTGATTTTTTTTTCTTTTTTTTTTAGACGGAGTCTCGCTCTGTTGCCCAGGCTGGAGTGCAGTGGCATGATCTCGGCTCACTGTGACCTCCGCCTCCCAGGTTCACGCCATTCTCCTGCCTCAGCCTCCTGAGTAGCTGGGACTACAGGCACCTGCCACCATGTCCAGCTAATTTTTGTATTTTTAGTAGAGA